ATGTGGTCTGAACACGGGCACAAATACAAGGTTATCCTGGTGTATGCTTTATCTATTTCTTCTTTATACCTTTTAAGTGTAAAAGGCTCATTGCAACCAGGTAAATTGGTCGCTTTACTCTTATCGCCATAAAGAAGATAATAGAACATTGTCTTATCGTGTTTAATGACACCTTTATTAAATCGGTGATGTTTCTCGACTGCCTTAGTTAACAGATCGTCGTATGTTATCGTTGCTGGTACGGTGAGTGGAAGAGTGAAACCCCTTTTTACGATGAGAGCTTCATCTTTTAATATCATAATTCCGATATTGATTTTAACCTCTGAAGACTCTACGGATTTCCCGTCGAGTTTCACTCTTTTCCCATCTTTTTTCTTGAAATGTTTGTTCCGATCATCCTCTTTGCGTGCACGAAATTGGGCAAAAGTAGTTGGCGGTGTTGAAGTATTCCCAGTTGCAGAACTCGTACTTGCACGTTTGCTAATGGTTTCGCCATCAGGGATGTTTACTTTGTTTCCAGTTATTTTACTACCACACTTGTGGCAATAATTTGCATCAGTGAGATTAGATTTACCACAATGAGAGCAGAACATTTTACAATAAATTTGCACAAAATGCACTTGGCTTTGTGCATGTTTACTGTTTTTCCAAGATGGCGTATTTTCTACAGTCACGTGATGGATGCGCACGCATAAATTCCAGGTTTTAATTTGCAGCAACTTTATTTTAATTTGCAGCAACTTTATTTTGAATTTGCAGCAACTTTATTTTAATTTGCAGCAACTTTACTTTAATTTGCAGCAACTTTATTTTAATTTGCAGCAACTTTATTTTAATTTGCAGCAAATTTACTTTAATTTGCAGCAACTTTATTTTAATTTGCAGCAACTTTATTTTGAATTTGCAGCAACTTTATTTTAATTTGCAGCAACTTTACTTTAATTTGCAGCAACTTTACTTTAATTTGCAGCAACTTTATTTTTAATTTGCAGCAACTTTATTTTAATTTGCAGCAACTTTAATATAATTGCTGCAATTATAATATATTTGCAGAATATTTATTATATTTGAACGAATTTTAACATATTTGCAGTAATTCTTTTATTTGCAGCATGTCCCTTGTGGGCCACCGTAAGGTCTCACTCTTTCTAATATACTCTGGCAGTTCGTTCCACAGTTTCGGTGCAGCATATGAGAACGATCGGTCACCATAGTTCACTAGTTTTACTGAAGGTATGGTAAGCAATCCTTTGGATGAGGAGCGTAAATTTGCTGATGGTGTGTAAGGTTTTAGCATATTATTAATGTAATGTGGAGCACATATCAATCCATTTCTGTAAGCATTTTCATTTCTGTTGCTTCTAAGATAAAAATCTTATAAGTTCATTATTATTATTATTATTATTATTATTATTATTATTATTATTATTATTATTATTATTATTATTATTATTATTATTATTATTATTATTATTATTATTATTATTATTATTATTATTATTCTTCATTGGTTCCAGTTTGCCGACGACGCGGCTGTTGTTAGCGGCCAAGAAAAAGAAAACCAAATGCTCCTCAATCGCTTTACAATCTGGTGTCAGTGGGCTCAAATGATAATACGTGTAGACAAATGTTCAACATTTGGCATGAGGAAACAATTAACCAATTCCATTCAATATCTCCCAAAACTATTTATAAATAACTGTCTTTTACCACGTGTTGAACTTGGTAAATCGTTTCGCTACTTAGGTCGCTATTTTGATTTCAACATGTCCGACGAAGATCACAAATCTGAAGTATATGACACACTTACTAATATCCTGAATGAAATTGATTATCTACCATTACATCCGAAAAACAAAATTCTCTTATACAGTCGTTATGTGCTTTACAAAATCTCTTGGCACTTTACTGTTTCTGACATAGGCAAAACCTGGGTTAACGATAAACTAGATAGTATCGCGTCCACGTATATCCGAAAATGGCTTGAACTTCCAATTTCTGCAACCCTTAGTAACGTCCTACTTCCCCACAATAAATTTGGATTTAATATCATTCTACCTTCAACCAAATTCCTTCAATGCCAAACTGTTTCTCGAAAAGCCCACATGCGGCTAAATTGAGGAATGCACATTTGCCCGACGCCATCTTGAATTCCGCGCAATGACCTGGGTCTCAGTTATGATGTCATAGTATCAACCATGAATGATGTAATCAAAACAAACGTATTCGCTCGCTCATTGCCACTTTATAAATAGTCTATTAAAAATGGTCATAATAAAGCTAGTTTACAGCAGCAAAAATTACAATAAATACA